CCAAGCCTGTAGTGATGCCCAGGGTATCATGAAACAAACGTAACACCGTGCAAAAGTAGTTCCCAGGCTGTAGGTTCGCTGTCCTCCAGGCAGTGAGCCTAGCAAACGGTCGTTACCATGGAATCCTTCTCGGTTCGGGTGATTATGTTCACTGCCGGCACCGTAATAGGAGCAAATGTAATAAAAGCTCAGATCGACACTAGGAAGTACATTATGGATACTTTATATTTCTTAGCACGGTTCTTACAGTTTCACAAATATCAAAACCCAGGTGTACGCGTCCATTTTGCAACACAGAACGACTATACAATTCCAAAAAGAGCAGGCATTTCAAATACACGATTCAGAAGTGCAAACCCGGTGTCCAAGCTCCTCGCCTCGCCACCCTGGTGCTGTGCCGTCGCAGCCGAGGTCACGCCGTACGGCGGGAACTCAGCGGAGGGCTGGTTTGCCTCAAGGCGATTTCTGAGCATCCTTCTGTCCTGTCACACCCCTTCGGTCTTTAGTTCTCCCCCAGGATATACAAACATACAATAAATACATTTCTCATTTTAAAGGACACTTAGACAAGTCATGAGGATTTATGTGAGTACAGTACATTTAAGTTCAAGTGCAAAAAAAGTAACTAGTGGCTAGTCATCCATGTTTCTTTCCATCGTCTACGGTGTTGGTCCCAGGCACCACCGGAACACGGGTTGTTCTAGCAGCACAGCTAAAGCACAGCTACGGGACACGCCTCCTGTCAAGCTAACCGGATGTCGAAGTGGGTAAAACTGGGCACCCCCTCCTTTCCTGCTTCACCGCTGCCACCTTCCTCTTCCCTACGCCTGTGCTCCTCTCCACCCTGCCTCTGGGTCACGGCACAGTCCCACAGCACACACCCTCCCCTCGGAAGGCCTGATGCGTAACAGACATCTGATCTCAAGGAGGGCTGAGCAATACTCAGTCCCGTAGAAGCTGAGTGCTCAGAATCTCCCTGCAACAAGCTGTTAATTTAAGCAAATGGGCCAAAGCACTGTCCTGACTTAACCCCCAGACTCCTCCTTGAGCCCAAGGCTTTCCCTCCAGCAGCAATTTTCGCTATGCACCAGCAAGTGAGCTGGCTGCAGGTAACAATGAAAAGCGTAAAAAACCACAATCCAAAGTCTTCCAGTGTCTTGACATTGGGCAAAGTGATTTCCTAAACATACTGCAATTCAGTCACGTTTGTTTCCTCCTGAGACTCTCCCACTCGATTTCTGCATCAACAACTTTGCCCCTATAATCCTAATCATTTAGGTTTTGAGGTGATTCCTCCCTCCCCCCACCTTCCCTAGGCACTTAAAGCTTACTGTTTTCTTAATAAATAACCACAGGAACGACACTGCATTAAATAAACCACTGTATAGATGGTGAAATAAAAACCCCAAAAGACAGCGTGTCCATTGAAAACCTCGGTCAATCTCAGGTTGTGCGATCTGGATCGTAGATTCTTGTCTCAACACAACATCAAATCCAAAACTACCCAAACGCACACAACCCATGCCCAACTGAAGGGCTGCAAGCGCAGAGGTTAACTTCTTCAGAAGCCTTCCTCCAGCCTTTTTGTTTCACTAGAACACCAGCTCAAAAATCTTTGCTTTGCAGAACTAAACCTTTATCTCAAATAAGAGAACATCAGCTTCAAAAACATATTCTTTGAATATGTGTGTGTTTTACTTAATCCATCACCATAATAAGAAGATACACTTCCTAAAGCTACTCTGTTTCTGAGAAATCTTTAGAGACAGTTTCATGCTGTTCCTACATTTACTGGATCCGATATTTTCTAATAGACAGTGTCGGGAAACCCAACTTCTCTCCTAAAAAGTCTCTTCATTTTGTCTTGGGAACAAATTCGGAGAATTATCCAATTAAGTCAGACACTCTGTGCCTCAAGTGAGGAGTGAACTCCCTTTTCCTACAGGCTGCAAAGAAATCTCATAGCACTTGACTCGGCTTTAGCAACGCAGCCAAGAATTCTTCCTACCGTCAGATCCGGCCACATTCCCTTCCTCAAGATTCCTGAACTTTCGGCTTCCCTGCTCATGTTGCTCTGTGTAGTCATATGAATATTCTTTATATAGTTAAAAGCTTGCACTGCATCACATTATGATCGTTACGATGAAGGAAGTCCTACTTTTGAGCTCCTACTCCAGCGTTTCCCAGGTGAGAAGCAGAATTCCATGCACTGGATTTGGTAAGATGAGCGCATCTCAGAGCCCTGCAGTGGCAGGCTGAGCATCGTGATCCGACACAACGTGGTCGCCATCTACTTGGGAATCGGATGGTGCTGTAGGTGTTGGTGCGGAACAATTTCCGGGCTGCCCGGAATCGGTTGGATTTTGGGGTTGTCTTGCTGAGCTGGCTGATGAAGCACTGCAGTTCTCACTGATTTTCTGCAGAGAGGGGAGAGGAGAGCGTGCAGACAGTAAGTACAAAGGCCGAGGACACTAGCCCCACCGGGACACCCCAGGATGCATTCAGGCACTTGGGGAAACTCACAAAGCGCTTACTTCAACGCCCGCAGCGTAACAAATCAACTTGAAGCAGCCAAGCAAAAGTAGTACATTTAAATCCAGATGACACTAATAGGAAGCAGACAGGAGCTTACCTTCCATCTCTTTTCCTAACTGCACTTTCCCAAGAAGCATGCAAAAAACAAACTTGTTGTGTTTCAAGGGGAAAAAAAAAAAACAATTAACTGGACTTCAAAGCGTTCAGACAAGAGCATTTTTTTTGACCGAACAGTTCTATACATTTTTTTTCATGCCCCTTAAATACAGCCTTCCTCAACAGTTCCCTCCCTCCCCAAGATACTTTTGGAAGCACAACTTTTGCAGTACGGATGTACGATGCCATGCAGCCTACTCAAACAGGCCTTCCCAAGGAAGAGAAGAGCAGATTCCAACACCGGTTACATTCCCCAGGGCTGAAACAGCAAAGCCTTCACACTAACACGTTTCACGTTAGGAAATGACACACAATGTTGATTTCTTTGGCACTGAGGAATGGAGAATGTGGGGCAAGAACGTCCCTCTGCTTGAAGGAATGTAAGCAAGCAGTAGCAAAATCAAGCCAAAATCATAACGGAATAAGATAGGATAATCTTTGTCACTAATTCCATTTTCTGCGCACTGACCCTCCTTCCAAATGAGCCGCTTTAATTTTAAGAAGACTATTTAACAAATTTAGTAAGAAAGCTGGGCAGCCTTTTTCTGGTTTCAGATTTAAGTTATCACCAGCCTCAAATAAACGACTGAGCACAAAACCCGAAATGATTTGAAGATGGTTTATCCTCCTGGGGCACTGAAACAAGGATAAGAGATTGCGGAGAATACAGATAATGAAGAAAATAATACCATGGGCTGCATTGAATTCTGTTGCACCAGCAAGAGCTGCATTTGTATCAGCACCGTATTTTTACAGGAAGGAAGGGGTAACGAAGACATCATGGGCCAGGGATGCCCACAGGCAGGAAAGCCTTTCTGGCCTCTTCGCAATTCTCAGCGAGCGGCTGGGTGGTGTCCAGCAGCGCTGGACACGTCCCTCGCAGGCACCACGCCGCTGCAAAATCTTTCTTCTTTTCTTGCCATGGTCACTGTATTAATTCCTGTGTGACTGCTTTTCTCCGATTTCCCTTTATAAAAGGGGACAGCTTATACTGCCTGAGACCCTGAGGACATTCACAATGGAAAACAGAGCGCTTGATCTGGACAAATGACTTCAATGTCAGAGACCCAGTGGTATCTTCAGTGTCACTATAACAACACATTCTTTCACTCAGGGAAGTTCAGGAGCAAACTAAGAACCCAACCAACCTAAAGCAGACATGCCTGTGAATATATTTTCAAAAATACAAACAAATAAGAAAGGCAGGAGATCACTGACCAGGCGAAATTCCTACACACTCTGCTTTGCTGATTCACACTCATATCCTGGTTACCATTACCCGTGTTCATGCCTAGCGGGTGCATAAGAAGGAATGTCACCCACTCTGTCCAGACAGGTAAACACAGTGGTTTTAACATTAATCACGCTGTTCTACAACTTGCATTGACAGCATTTCCCTACTTTGCTTCAGCAGTATGCTGCAGCTCCATTCCGAAAGGCACGGGCAAAGGAGTAGATGGTAGTTCAAGATCCAAGCTCATCCACCAATGATGAAGGTAAAGCTATTAAAAGGTATTTTGTGGGGGAGACTAGACAGAAGGGAAACGGTGTAAAGTAAGCACCAGCAATCAGACATGTTAAGTCATGCTCTTTTTCTGGTGTAACTCTAGTTAAAAACAGAGATTAACTTTGGACCGAAGGCTCTGTATCCCATCAGTAGTTGTCAACGTCAAGTATGTAGATGTTTGACAGCATCACCCACGGAAGCAAAAGTGAATAAAAATCATTTTGCACTCTATTAAGAAGCTGTGCATCTTCATGTTCGATTATCCCCATGTAAACGTTGCGAAATGCATAACCCGCAGATTCCAACTAACATGAAAACAAATGTAAACTTTAAGGGAATTTAAGTATATCAAAGCCTGTAAAACAGTCTCTTTCTGTGTCTCTCCCTCTCCTCCCATCATCAGGAAGAAAAATCTACTACATCTTCTACTTGCAAAAAT